ACCTGCAGTGCTGTGTCCAGTTTTGGGGCCCCCAATATAAGAAAGCCGTGGAGCTGTTGGAGCGGGTCCAGAGGAGGCCATGAAGATGATCAGTGGCTGGGGGACCCTCCCTATGGGGCCAGCTAGCACCTTCCCTATGGGCACAGCTGAGAGAGTTGGGGCTGTTCAGCCTGAAGAAAGGAAGGCTCCAGGGGACCTTATTGTGGCCTTCCAGTTCCTGAAGGGTCCTACAGGAAAGCTGGGGAGGGACATTTTACGAGGGCAGGTAGTGATAGAATGAGGGGGAATGGTTTTAAACTGGAAGAGGGGAGATTTAGACTGGATATTAGGAAGAAATTCTTCACTGTGAGGGTGGTGAGGCCCTGGCCCAGGTTGCCCAGGGAAGCTGTAGATGCCCCCTCCCTGGCAGTGTTCAAGGCCAGGTCAGATGGGGCTTTGGACAACCTGGGCTGGTGGAGGTGTCCCTGCCCATGGAGGTTGGACTGGGGGAGCTTTATGATCCCTTTAAGATCCCTTCCAACCTGAATCATTCTATGATTCTATGAAAATAACAACAGCTTTTAATAAAACATCGATTCCACTGAGCTCAGTTGAAACACAGTCATTAACTTGGAGAGATTTCCAGGCCTGATTTGGTTTCACAAAATTCCAGCCCACCATTGTCCTCCAGCAATTACAGTCACATAAACACAGCTCTCGCTAGAATGTTTTTACTAGCACCCTGTGGAAACAACAGCATTTTTGTCATTATTTCAGATGTTTCAAAGAAGACACCAACAGAGAGCTCAAACTGTCATGATTTTCCTCAATCAGGTTACAGAAGCAATTAGAAAAGTGGTAGATTGATGGAAAATATATTCGTTTTTGAAAGGATACCTACAAAACACAGGCCAGCAAAGAGCAAAAGCGGGAGGGCAGAAAGAATGAGGAGCCACCGCCAGCCAAGAGTGGGCATCACCAACACTGCTAGAAGGACTTCAAACACGGTCCCGATGGCCCAAAAGACCTGCCAAAGGGAAAAGAAAGAGTCACAAATGAGAATAAGAGCACTTTTAAGGCCTCTTCCTGTGTACCATCTAAGGATGTGCTCTCCAGGGACAGCCGGAGAGAGAAATGCCAGAGACATTTCAAACAGGAGTCCAGACATTTTAAGGGGATTTGGTTAAATGCTGCAGAAGCTAAAATGTTCAGTTCTGAAAACCTAGCGTTGACGTTCTCTAGACACTCATGTTTAATCATAGGTAGCTTCTCATAGGGAACAGACTCATCACGTGGTGTCTGTTAAGCAAAATTACTATCAATATATCCACCTGTGAGTATTATTCCCAGATACCTCTGCTAGATTTATGGTATTTGTTTTCCTTACCTAAACCAAGCTACCAAAGCCACAGTTTGGCCTGCAGGTGAAAGAAGGAATTTGTACTTTCTTAGCAAATCATGGAGCTGGCATCCTCTTGTATATCCTACCCATGCAGGATTATTCTCCTTTGGATTAGGAATCCACTGAGCTCATTATTTAACGCTCAGAATATATTTCTAACCCAGGGTTGCTCAGAGGCAGAACAGAAGTGACACAGAAAGGAGTAATTCATCTGCTGAACTCTATTTATGACAGATTAATCAACTGAATGTAGGGCCAGCCAGCAGATATCTTAGAAGACTGGTTTTGCACTGCAAAGCTGTTTCAATTTGTTGAGGTTTTCCAAAAGGATGCTCCTTCCAAAACGACTGATGCAGACAAGTAACAGTACTGTCCTCCGAGCCTTCAATCATCCATTAAACGTCTGTGAAATCTGCCTTATTTATAGGACAAAATTCTGCTCTCTGTGACTTTGATACATTTGGATGGAATATGGGGAGCTGAATTTAGCCCTGCATTTACAGAACAGTCAGTTCTCCCCTGCCCATTCCTGAGCTGGAGATTGATTTCACCATGAAATTAGGTGACACCCAAACAGCCCCCCTTGTGCTAACAGCAGTAACGTGCGTGGCACTGGATGCAAGTTAATTTGCAAAAAGGCAGATTCAACAAAAAGAGTAGGGCATTACATGAATGTTTTATGCTGCTTTTTGGACCTGATCAAGTACCAGTGCATGGGGGTAACCTCAGCTCCACGCTAACGTGGACACTCAAGATTTGGCTGCAGCTATGCCTGAGATTTCCAGTCAGTAGGACTGAATGGATGGAACCAACAGCAGAATTTGTCCCATTAGGGACCAGTACACATAGCTCCACTGCTCACCTCTATTAATAAAATGCACTTTGCTCTTGCTTTCATCGGAAGGAATTCAGCATATAAGGTTACCCTGTAAAGAGTGAACACAAAGAAAAATGGCATGTTAGCACAATGAGAAAGGTTCAAACATGTAATTTGCCTTTTATTAAAATTGCCAAACCCACAGTAGTAATGCAAAACCCTTCCTAGCCCTCAGAGACAGCAAGACTGGGGACACTGGTTCAGACTCTCCTTTCCGTATTAGAAAACCCCCCCTTTAGTTCATCATTGCACTGGAGGACAGAATTTGCTCTGTTCGTGTGATTTAGTAACCCTGTAGTGGTAAGTTAAACGTAGCGGTTCCTCATGTAAGTTTTCACAACCCTGCTCTGGTTGGGGACAGGCATTACTCCTGTTATTTTCAGTGGGGTCCATCAGCATTCAACACAAACTCTCGCAGGGTAAATCATTTCTTCAGGGCTTTAAAACAGGCTCAGAGAAGTTCATATCACTCTACTCTGCCAGGTTTCAACTCTCCAAGAGGTGAATACTTTCAAGGTCCGATCGTGTTACTGCTATGAAATAATCTGCATTCTCCTATTGTGGGAATTCAAAAAGAAATCACCTAACTCTCTGCAGAGTTTTAGTTTCATGATTGTGCCAAAGAGTAATGGTACAGCTTCTCTATGAGTTATTTGCTGAGGGTGACCACCAGGGTCAGCAGCCAGTCAAGGCTCTCTCATCTTCTTCAGACCTCCTGGTAAGACTCGTCGTTTTTTGCTCCTCTGTTTGCTTTCCATTGACTCATCCTGTTTCAGCCTCTAAACTCCTTAGGTTTTCTTTGACATTTGTGACAAAACTCCTGCTAACTTCATAAATGGTGGATCGATCTCTGAGTAGCTTCCCAGAACTCAGTTCACTGAAGTACAAAGTTGCACACAATATTATATTAAATCATTGATTAAGAGGAGAAGGAAGTAAAATCACGTAATGAAATGTAGAGCAGTCCCCTATATATCGCAACAGAAAGCAGGAGCTGAATAATGCTGTACAGAATCATTTTCTTAAGAGAATACTCCATATCTTTGCAAGTCTGATGTTGGCACTGTGAATGAACAGTCATAGTCAGCGTTAGATAATATCTCGCAGAAAATTTCCAGAGGAGGCCACAGCTTCTCAGGTGCAGCTCCTACATATGTATAGATAGAGGGATATCTGCTATAGTCAGTTACATTCTTATTGCTGGATGTTTTCTTTTTAATACCTTTCATAAAAATCTTTCTCTCCTACCTACTATAGAACACAATACTACATTTATAAAGATGTCATTCCACTGAAATTCAGCCGCTCATATCCAAAGTTAAGTAACCCACTTAAGGATATTAGGAGCTACTTTTCCTGCTCCATACGCATTTACTCCTCTGTCAAAGGAATCAAAGTTATGGATGGAACAAGAAACAGACTCAGCAGCAGCTCCATAAGTCAGCAGCTCTCATCAAGTCAGGCAGCCTTTGCGCATTGCCCGCCCCTCTGTAACACAGCAGTAGCTGTGCCATAGCCACTCCACCGGGGCTCTGAGGACCATCATTAATGAGTGTTTGCAGTACAAGGTGTTATTAACTCTGATGCTTTGTCTTTGTTGTTCTCTTGCCTCATTCCAGCTGTGCTCAGCTGGAACTGCGTGGCAGAAACTGCCTCACCGTTGGTCAACACGCAGCAGGCTAAGGACTTTCCTGTTTTACATAGACATTACGCTTCTGTGCAGCTTCTAAAGGTGGGCAGGAGAGCAGCGAAAGAAAATTAATAATACTGTGATGTTCCATCTCAGCGCTGAATCTTTTATCTGGGAATGGCAATAGAAAAGGCAGGATATTGACTTGCCTTGTGAAGAAGTCTATGAGCCATCAATCGAAGTTAGACTCTGATTACTCTGAAATGGCACCTCCATGGGGCGAAATATCAATTATTAATAAGGATAAAAGACTACACAGAGAGAGAATGGCTACACCCTTCCCTTTACATTTATAATTAAAAGCCTAGTGCAGAGTTATTTATTCCAGGTGGAAAATTTAGAGATTTTCCTCTTCAGTGAATGGAATGACACAGTAATAGAGAAGTAGAGTAATAGAAAAATCCTGGTGCTACCTTCTTACTAGAAATGTGTCTGAGCTTTCCAGATCTCTTCAGTGCTCCAGGTTTGGGCTGTGCAGGTTTGGAATTCCAACTCAGGTTTAGATGTGAAGGTTCAGGCTCTGACTGAACAATAATCTGCAGTTTCACAATCAGGAGTCAGGGTTCAGCTCTACCTCTAGTGTTTAGGGTTCTTTGTGCCTCTCGTTTTTACCATGGTTTACCAGAGGGAATGAGAGAAGCTTAAAAGGGCTTAAGGCATATAACATATTACATTGGGGAGCCCAGCTTGTTCACACAGAAGTCATTATAAATCTGATTCAGCTCAGTGATGTATTAAATATCTGCAAAGCCTTCTCAGAGTTTAATATATTAGTTCCAAAATACTTAGAGAAAAATCAGTACGGGGCAACTGAACAGAGGCATGTCTTCAATTTGACATAAGCATTTTTTAAAAAAATAAATAGAAAAGAGAAAGTCTGAACTTGTGAATATTTACTTACGACTGAGGCACTCCTCCAATCCCAAAGCCCACCAGGCCCCTCAGCACCAAGATCCAGCTGTACACTGGTGCAAAACCACTGAGGATCCCATAATAGAGCGTCCATAACACGCTGATCTTTAGGCCCTGTATTTAACAAACAAGCAGAAGGAAAAGAAAGTCTCTGCTGTAACATAAATTAACAAAATGTAAAGTAGAGCTTCAAAAACTCCTTCTATATCATGGGAGGTCAATTCTGGCTCTGATTAATTCTGCTTCATATATGTGGATTGTGATATTTGCGAACAGCATGCACCGAAACACCCACACAGTAGAAATATGAGAATATATTCTACTAGGAGCTCAAAACTTACTGTTTTTCTCCCATACTGGTCTGAAATGTTTCCCCAGAGGGTGGAGCTGGACATCATTCCCACAAACACCACCTGTGAAACACCAGAAAAAAAGAATCGTCCCCTTAACAATACAAGTGACAATTGCCATATGACAGCCAAGAGAACACATCTTCACAGTGCAGTTAGACAATTTCAGCCCTAAGAATAGAGAAAAACATCCAGGTGTTCTGGGTACAGTTCTTTTGCAGTAGAGACTACTAAAGGTAATTATTTATCTAGTGGGATTTTTCAAAAGTCACTCAGCATTAGCCTAACACCACATTTGCCACTAAATGGAAATTGTTGTCTTGTTCCTGGGTTGGTTTTGGTTGAGTTTTTTGCTGAAGGTTTTCATAACCCACAAAAAAACCCCATAACTTCAGAAAAGTCTGAAGAAAGACTGGCATGTCAAAGAGAATATACTGTACCCTTTTCAGAGGTGACACCAAAAAGTGTAGTTTACTCTGTAGATGGAGAGAGAAATGAAATCCTACTCAGTGAAGGTAAAGGCAAAACGCAGGCATGTTTCCCCCATCAGCACATTAAAACCATTGCAATTTTGTCAGAGAAAGATACTCAAGTAATTCATATAATTTCCTGGAAATTCATTAATCTTTGAACATGAAACTGCAGAATTTCCTCAGTTTTCACTGAGTTTCATTTCTTCAAGCTCTGGCTTTTCAAAAACACCCCCATAATCCTCTAAGCCAAAGGCAACCTGCAAAGGCCGTGAACAGTTTAACTTTGGGATATTAAGCATGATGTCTGAATAACAAGGAGTGGAAAAACCTTACAGAATACAGGAGCTGTCAGTTATTTTTCCTACCGAGGTGAGCAATGCAACCTGCCAGCTTGGTAATCGCCACTCACAATGAAGCTGAGGAGCTAGGATACTTAAAATCATCATTTCCATAGCATCTGCCATCTAGAAGGGTAAAAAAGAAACACAAATAAATAACTGCCTGAACATTAGATTGACACAGCAGTCAGTAATAGACCTTCTTGAAATGATCTTTATTTCTGCTGATGCCATTCCCACTCTGTAGGTATCATTACCCTAAAATACACCACAGCAGATGTCACATGTAGTGCTTCAGGAACAGCAGAATGGCTGCATTATTTGAAATCAGAATGAGGTTCTCTAACTGATGATCATGCAATCGATCCTGACAACAATTACTTGCCCATGCTAATCCAGTAATAACAGACAGCTTCCACTGGAACTTTCCAAATCCAATGGCTTCCACCGCATCTTCCACCATGAAAGTATCTGAAAGAAAACAATTCTAGTGCAGAAGTGTATTCCTTTCCTAGTAAGAGCCATCCTTTGAGATAGCATTTTCTGTGAATGCAATTGCTAACTGGGTAATCTGCTGAAATTTAAAATATATGAGAGAGCTACTTAGCTTTTATACAGCTCATACGAAAATCCCTGTGTTCTTCAAAAACTGTACTAAATCCAACATAATTCTAAATATTCCTAGAATATTTTATCCACATAGAAGTAAATCAGTGTAGCTCCAATGATTCCAGCACACGTTCGGCCTGTTACTCTTGGGAGTGACTCCACCAGCCACTGACTTGCAGCTTCCTCTGGTGAGACGTTTTAACACTTCCAGCAGTTAAAAAAGCACATTCCCCACCAAAAAGCTTTATCTAGCTAAGAGCTGGACAGCCTCACAAAGCCAGAGACAAAAAGCATGAACCGAAAGGAAATCAAACAAAATCTCACTGCTGAAACAAAGCAGAGACCTCACAAACCCTCAGTTTATGACTTCAACCCAGGCATCCGATGTGATGGCACTGAGGCTCAGCATATTGGGCTGTTGCATCACTTGTGCTTCTTTGGGCGATGTGCCATCGGAAATTCTACACAGACCTGCAGACTCGCGCTGAGCCTTTTGAGAAACTCGCCGAGCTCACTCCATGCCATTCTGGCTTCCTATCGCAGCCATATGTTAATAAATAAGTCCCTGGGAAAACAGTCATCCTACAAAATTTGAGTATGGCTTGTGCTAAGACAAAACCAAAAATCTTGCATCTTCTGCCTTCAGGGCAGTCAGCACTTCTCTGGCAGGCAGAAAGCAGAGGCTGGGATGCACGTTCCTGCTGTCCCTCTTGTCCTCTAGGCAAGGAGGGGACAGTGACACTGCAGAGGCTTCATGCTCAGCCTTCAAGGTGAGCCACGTGTAACTGCTCCAGCAAACTCAGTGACATTTTAGGAGCACTTATCAGTTTTAAAGGAAACTAAGTCAAACCTCATGTATGAAATAGGTGGTGACAACTGGATACACAACTCCTTAGAAAGGTCTATTACAGGTAATATAAACACAGACCCCTAAAGCATCCCTCGGAGAACAAGGTAGCTAAATCATGATTGTCAGTGTAACACAATTTGCCGGGGTCTTTGTCTCCCTCTTTTATCTGGGGATCTTTAACTTCTCTAAAGCCAACGCATTCGGCCTGGCTGCAAGGTGACTGAAAAGAATAGGCCATGCTTTTCTCCTCAGGGGAAAACAAGAAACCTACTCACCATCAGTTGGGTTGGCAAACTCTTTTGGCACTGCAGCTCCATCCTCTAGCTCAACAGGCTCTAGCTCTGTCCGAACACCCTCAATCTCAATTTCATGCTCTCCTGAAATGACATCTTCATCTGACCTCGAGCTTTCCCCAGTGCGGCGAAACTTGACCACCCTACGAATACAGAAACAAGGATTAACGCTTTGGTGGCTGGTTTTGAGGTGGAAGCTGTGTTTGGTTTGTCCTGAAGCCCTATTTGGTCAAAGAGCAGCCAGGTTTCTCCCCATCCTCCCATCTCCATTTCACCTGCACAGAGAACGTTGTGATTTCTATTTGTATCTGCTTTTAGACATGGTATTCTGTTGGTTGCCACTGCAGAGGTACACTGCTATGTGATAGAATCATCATTTTTGTACAAAGAGATGTTATCATGCTAAATATAAAGTTATAAAAACATACAGGTTATAAAAATACAAAGAAACAATATGTATTTAATGGTAACCTTATTTTGTGTGCCTGGACTGTTATCGTGAATTAGATACGGCCATGCCATTGAATTTCAGGTGCTTTTCCTTGTAGGAAGAACCCAAATGCAATTTTCTACACTGTTTTTTTAAGAGTGACTTGTGCCTTAGGAGAAGCAGAACTCCTGAAATCTGTCAGATTTATAAAAATGACTTAGTGAAGTAGGATTCGTAAGATAAGTCAGTGATTTTTCTCCATTACGATGATTCTGTGACTGTAAGTAAGATTATTTTCAGCTCTTGTCATAAACTGAAGTCTTTAATACTACACAATTAATAAAATACCTGTATTTTAAGAAACCATTTGCTTTCTGATACTTGGTTCACCTGTGCATTTTTTGAATCTCTTAGGTAATGAAGAGACAATCACCTGATCTCTGCTGCAAGGCCATGGAGAGAATAAGACACGAAAACAGAACTTTGCTAAATAGATACAACTTTCACGTCTTGTTTCGCGTGATTTTGTGCAATGTTTCGAGTATTCAGAGGAGGTCCCTTTTCCACCAGTTACGTTTCCCACGACCAAACAAATTCCTCAATACAGATGAGCAGAGAGCCTCTTGAACTTCAGTTTAATCCTTTGGTTTAAGGATCAGCAAAACAAAACTATCAGCGTCCCTGCCAAGTGCAGCTGCAGCAAACTGCCATGCACGTATGACATTTCTAAAGGTGATCCGAAAGACTTTTCAGATTTGGCAAGAACTCAACTTTTATTTTCTCTTACAAGTGCCAAGGACACAAACGTTACTTAATAGAAGGGCGAAGCGCTGGGCAACCTACAAAACTCCTGTAAATGCATTTTGGTCCAACGGAGGACAAGAGGATGGAGGAATGAACATCTCAGTCACCCATGGGGTTTTTTACACTGAGAGGAGTCCTGGCCATGACCAGCCACTCTGTCCAGCTTAGGATTTCACTGTGGTACAAACATAAAGCAGAGGGATACAAGACCTTGTTGTTTTCTCACAGTCTATATCTTATTTCCCTGATCACATCCCATCTGGAGAACTGTACATATTCACTAATGAGAACCTGGGTAGAGAGAGAAGTGCAGTGACCGTGTTGGGAGGTTATCACTCATCTCTAGAACAGTTGATTTCAGGCTGTTGAGATGTTGTAAGTTTATTTTTTTCAGCTAAACAGGGCATGCCAAGATGTGCATGGGGTAAATATTCCTTGCACTACTTTAGTAATGCCCTCGTCTGCAGCAGGAAACTGCCAGCTTTCCTCTGGCCTTTCTGTCTTGGCAGACAAACAACAGAGTCACAGACTTTGTTTTTTAATACAACATTTGAAGATCTTAAACATAAGAACACAGACCAAAACCCCAGGCCTCTTCAAAATGAACAAGAAAACCACATTGACTGCAGTGAGACCAGGGGTTACCTCACATTCTGATTTGGGGTATGCCAAGGGTCCTTCACTCAGCTATAAGAAGGACAAAGGATTAAACTCTTCTGAATTCAGGTTCATATTTAGTTCCATTGAGAAACTCAATCTTAAACTATCTTCCTCTGATTGTTGTTTTAACCTCAGTACAACTACCTTGGCTTGGATTTTCTTTTGCTGACCCTATAGGACAAACACAAGTAATTATGACTCTCACTTTGAGATTGTCACTGAAGATATAATCCTTGTATGACCCACAAAATACATACTCTCAGCAAACAAACACTGACATTTGAATGCCCGTGAGATGACTTTTTTATTACAAAGCACAAATAATATGAAAGCACTATTCATATCTTCTTGGCAAAAGCTTTACAAGCACCTGGTTTAACTACGCAGGAAGTAAACTTTTATATTTGTATTTTTTACAGGAGGACTATTACTGTAGCTTCAGCAGTCTCAAAGCCTGCTGCAAAGTTTGTTGTTTCCTCAGATTTTGGGAGGTCTGAAGTGCCGCTGCTGCAGGGGATTATGACTGAAAATCATTCATACAATCTACGCTGGGAACTGTTCAGTGTCCTAGCAAGCCACAGGCAAGATAAACCCACCAGTTAAAACCTTCCTGACTTTAAAGGGCCTGACTACAAACCCCCTATATAACTGTTTCTTACTTTGTAATATCTCTTGAAGTGCACTTTCAGAACTGATTGTTTTGGAGATGATGGTTCCAGACATCACACAGAGGCAGTGACCGATCTGAAAACCGTGAATATTCCAATGGCAGTCTGAGCAGAGAGCTACCCGGCCACATACCACATCACAGCAAATTAAAAAACCCATGGTTATCACTTAGGAACCTATGAAACAAACTGACGCAAATGAAGAAAAGAATGGACACACGGTGACATTTACTGTTCTTTTCTTGCAGAATTCTTCCCAGCTGAGATCTCAGAGAGCTGCATCTGTTTGCAAGAGCTCACAGCACCAAATAAGTCCAATTACACCTACATTGAAAGGTACTTCAGAACATTTTTGTGTGTTTTGCTTTATTTAAAAAAAAAAAGGGGAAAATGGCCTAATGAAATCACATCTTACTCATTTTACTGCCAGTCTTAATGCGCAGGAACTGAGCATTTGAAAATAACTGGAGTTCATGTCCATTTCCCCAACTTATTAGAAACGTTATGGGACAGTTTGCTCTGTCATTGACACGAGCTCATTAATATTTAAGATCAACTTTAAGCATTTATTCCCTGCCTTGCAGAGCCAATGATTTATAAATAGGAATATGCTACAAAGCACCTGATAATGGAGCACTAGGAGAATTGTTATTGTTTTTAAAGGAAACATTTGGCAGTCATGAAAAGGAAAGGAAACAGGGGTGTCAAAAGGCAGCAATGCTTTTAGCACCTTTTTGCACAGATCCAGCAGCCACATCCCAACAGCAGAGAGTTCCTCACAAATAGCAGCATTTCCCCTGTGCAGCACCGTTTGCTTCCCCAAAGCACACAGCAAATATCCCTGCCACTGCCTGCAAATGCAAACACACCTTGGCAAAAACAAATCAGGGTTCTGAGCTGCAGTCAGTCCCTGGCATGAAGGAGGAAGCCGAGGAAGATGCCTCCCCTAGCACAGCGTTATTTACAGATGCAATCCACCTTGCGAATGCAACAGCAACGTTTCCTCCCCCAAAAAAATCCTGTGGCACTTCCACGGTTTTATCCCACCCCTCCTTATTTCCACCAGCGGCAAGTTCGGGCAAAAAAATACAAATTGAATTTATGTAACAAATGGAGCCCTGCATGCCCCCCAGGATGCTGAAGCCAAGGAAAATGGCCTGCTTCCCGGGGCCTGAGCCACTTCCTAGAAATAATTCCCCCCCAAAAAATCACCGGGATTCACAAAATCCCCCGCAGTCCGTTCCCACCCCTCCTTATTTCCACCAGCGGCAAGTTCGGGCAAAAAAATACAAATTGAATTTATGTAACAAATGGAGCCCTGCATGCCCCCCAGGATGCTGAAGCCAAGGAAAATGGCCTGCTTCCCGGGGCCTGAGCCACTTCCTAGAAATAATTCCCCCCCAAAAAATCACCGGGATTCACAAAATCCCCCGCAGTCCGTTGAGAAGCACCCCCGCGCACCCCCGCTCCCCTGCCGGTGCTACTCACGGCAGCTGTCTCAGCTGGAATAAATCATCCTCCATTGCCAGGCTGCGTCTGCAGGAGCTGCTCTCATCGCTCTCGCATGGCGGGGACGGCTGGAGCGGCGGGCGGGCGGGCAGGCGCGGACGG